GGGGGGGGGGGGGGGGGGGGCGTACTCATTTGTTGCTTGCCGTAGTCATTTGACCATTGACCACGCGTCCCTTTCGAGATGGAGCACCGTTCCTACCCCTACTAGAGACACCACCAACATTTGGGAGCTCTTTACGTTTCTGCCACAAACTACATAAAAATTTCTTACAGCATCTTATCTTACATTATGGGAGGGGGGGGATGCTGTAACGGGCCCGCAGTTAGAGAAGCGTCAAGTTCGGGTCGAGGCTCTTTGTCTTACTTAATAACGTCGCCACCGCCGTGGAGCACTGGTTGTTGCATATCGGAGTTTGGGGTAGGGTTCGCCGCTGAGTCGTGCTTCTTAACCCTATATTGTTGTTTATCGTAAACAATTTAAGGCCTCTATTTCAGAGCATTTCATTTATCATTGCGGGCGGGCCCGTTTTTGTAGCGCGTAAGGCGAGGGGAGAAAGCCAACGAGAAGTGGCGAATATGTGCCGGATGGAACCCCTGATTGACTAATAACACCCCCCCCCCCGATCGCCCCCCCTGCCTGGTGGTTGCCATCGGGGTTGGGTTTTCGTCGCTTGGCAGCGGATGTTGTAAAATAAGCCGATCACTTCGTGAGCTCGGCAACCAGATAACCGCTTTTTTTTTTGCGGTAACCATGAATGAATGGTGGTCGAGTAGATTATGTTGTGCGGGGTCGAGAACCCTCACTCCGCGCAAAGGGGATAATCGCACGTTGTGTTAAATTGTCAAGCACCCTCGAGGCAGTTACACAGCGCTTCCAACTGTCTCTGGAAGTGAAAGCACCAGAAAATAAATTAAGTCATACGCAGCTGTCATCCGTAAGCAAGGAAGAAGTAAGCACAAGATGCCGAACACCCTTAGCAGGATGCAGCGCACCCTTCATGCGACTCGTCGAATACCTCACGGCGCTTCGCGCTTGGTGATGTGAGAGCCTGGTCCGGTGAGAACCCGGCGTGCTCCATCCCGGCTTTGTAGGGATGCGAGGTCAATGGTCTAACGACTACGGCATGCACGACTATGAGTACGCCCCCCCCCCCTCCATCACTGCACCATTGCGCCAACCCCCCACGAGCGATGACGTGCCTTTGCTGTTTCTGGCGGCTCTCTTTGTTTGTTTGTTTGTTCGTTACAGTAGTGGTTCTGGCGTATGCCTCTCTCATTTTCATCTTCTGTGTTCGTTCGTCTTCTTTTCTTTTTTAGTCTTTCCACATTCTTCTCTCTTTTTGCTTGAAGTACCAAGATTATTTACTAGGGTGTACCGATTCTGGTAAAAGTCAATCGACGGATACCGTTGCGAATCGGGTCCTCCTTAACACTCTCCACTCACTCACAGAATTTACCCTCAACTGGGAACCTCTATTGGCCAGGACGGGTAATTCGATGGAAGTGTCACAAGGTTCTTTCTAGGATCGATTCCAAGAGGTGTTCTCAGGACTGACACACATTGTGTCCATGGGAAAATGTCCAAGTCTGTCTGAAGAAAAAATGTGCACCCAAAGAGATTCGAACCAGTATCCTGTTGACGCCATACGCGAGGGTGTACTGATTTTGGTAAAAGTCTATGGACGGATATCCTGCGAATCGGGTCCTCCTTAACACCTACCCGTGATTTTGATTTCCAGTCTCTGATCACCTCGCATAGCGTGTAGAGGCGAGCGGAGGGTACTAGACTATATGTGTCGTAGATTTCTATGGATTTGCGGACTCGGGTCCATTATTTTTTGGTATTCCAATGTGGGTACCTTTTTTGGGAAAGTTAGCCTGTGACCACGGGAATCGACCACGTCAAGTGTTATAGACTATGGACAGATGAAGGTACTCGATGGAGAGATCGGAACGGTTTTGTATGTGAAGACAACAGCATGTTATGGTATTTTGAGGTAGACACATCATCGTGCTTGACCCATGCTTATTTGGTGTTATCAGATGATGTGAAGTGACGTCATGCAAGACTCGGGTTTTATGCCGAGTCGGTATATGTAAAGCACGGCATAAAGAAAGCACGAGTCAAGACTCGGGTTTTATGCCGAGTCGGTATATGTAAAGCACGGCATAAAGAAAGCACGAGTCTTGCATGCCGAGGAATGTGCCCATCCATCTGTTCAGTGTGCCTCAGTGCGTGTGATCGGGTTTGATCGTGGTGTGCGCTTGGGATCTGTGTGCGTTGGCTTGTTTCCATTGGAGGACAACGGGAAAAAAGCATTAATCATGGGGAGAGAGCAAAGGAAAACAACAACAACCTGCATCCATCGTGGTCGGACAAGAGAGTTCCACACAGCCTACAGGTGATCGATTCTGGAAGGGGGTCAAATCTCATTACAAACAACAAGGAAGGGTGATTATCTCCTCCCATTGGTGCACACGGGACATAGACTATGTGCCCTTTCGAGGAGGCAATAATTGCCCTCGGGCACCATCAAATAGGCTCCGTTTTCCTGATGGTTCTCTTGTTGTTTCGTTGATTCGCATCGCTAATTCTTCGGCCCAAACACCCTACCGTGCTTAGAATGGGTGATCTCTGTAGTGGAACCAACGCGCGAGCCAAGAAATTTCCAGACTAAATTTAAAGCAGTATCTTGCTCAGTCGGACCTAACAACGAAGAGACAACGACTATGCATACCACATCATAGCGACAAGGCGAAGGAAGGACACGTTGTTGCTGACGTGGCAATGAACGGGCTGGTCTCACGCGTGAAAACTTAGATTCGCGGGAATCGTTCATTTATTTCGGCCCGTATCTCTTCATTCCTAAAGAGGCGGAAGCGAATAAAACCTGTTATTATTATGTGAACCTTGGGTATTTGTGTTGAAGATGCCGGTGCGTGTCCTTCGTTTTCTCGCGACCTTTGGATGCGTCGGCGTCAACACCACAATTTGTGAATAACGTGGTTCTGAGTGAAGTGCATGAACCCCAACGCAACACGACCGGAACAAAGGGACTGTTGTACTGAATCTTGCACCCTTTGTTGCAAGCGAGAGAGGTGGCGCCGCAACCAAAACCTATTATTACAGCAAAACAGCAAGTAGTACTCCTACTATCACTGCTGCTGTGGAAGCAAGAAGGACACGAACGCTTGCTTACCCGCATGTGTAGCACGCTGCTCGTAGTAGACTAGCATGCTAGTCTCAGCCTCCCGGTCGGTAGGCACCAGGTCCATGGTCGCGCGGTTCCTGGTTAGAGGACACATCACGAACCTGTTGCGGAGCTCCATGCCGCCGATGGTGAGTGGCGTCGAAAACGTTGTCATGATCTCGTGGATATGTGTATTGCTTTCGGATCAGCACAGCGGGAGGGGCAAATAGCTAGCTGGCGTGCTGCTGGAGAGGATGGCGCGTTGGGTGTGGGAGATATGCGGCCGGAGATGGGGTGTGGGCGATAGTGTCGTGCGTGCGCGTGTTGGCGGGTGTTTGGGGGGTCATCGGCGGATCTTTTTTTCTTTTTTGGAATGTTCTCTCGCTTGATTTCCCCGCTTTGTCCCGTTATTTTTTTTTGGCACGCTCGAGCCTTGACAAGCGGCCCGGCGTGTGTTTGTTGTAGTTGTTGTTTCTCACGTTAGCTCTACATTCCACAGAAATGGGGGAGCCCGTGGTCCCTAAACCCGACAAGCGGCCCGGCGTGTGTTTGTTGTTGTTGTTGTTGTTGTTGTTGTTGTTGTTTCTCACATTATTATTAGCTCTAATTTACATTCCACAACAATGGGGAGCCCGTGGTCCCTAAACCCAGCACACGGATACGAGCCGAGGGGAAACGAAACAAGAATAGAGTACACACAGGTGGCCAGTGGTGCACGTTGTAAGGGTACGTTGCACAAGGTGTACCTACCTACGTTGCATCCCAACGGACACTACGTGCCGAGATCATGCAACCCTACGGGCACAAGGTGTTGAGGTCGTGCAACCCAACGGGCACAAGGTGTTGAGGTCGTGCAACCCAACGGGCACAAGGTGCCGAAGGTCGTGTAACCCTACGGGCACAAGGTGTTGACTTCGTGCAATCTTACGGGCACAAGGCGTTGACTTTGTGCAACCTTGACGGCGCAAGGTGTTGACTTTGTGCAAACTTGAAGGCACAAGGTGTTCAATGTGTGCAACCGTTGTTCCGGTATGGCGTCGCCAGAAGTAGTTTTCGTAATTAGTCTCGTTTTTCCGTGTCCTTCTTGCGACTTGTTCATGCACACGCCACGGCGACGCGTTCAAACCAACAAAGCAACATTTGAAGCAGATGAAACTTCCGACCAAGAACAAATGGATTCCGAACACCGATGTATTCCAAACCACCAAATAACACGTTACAATAGCGGAGTAGCAGTCAACGGACCCCGAACACCGCCTCCGCCAAAGACACATCCTGCCAACCAGTCCAGCAACCCAAGTAAAACGAGGCGTCCATTGCACCCCGTCTCCTGCGCTTATTGATACATGCAAGGCGTCTAGAAACGGAGTGCATGCGCTGCACAGCATCGGTTGGATTGCTACGGATCCCTCGGATGGTCTTCAACCCCCGCGTTCACAAAAATCTAGAGGGATTTCATTGTCGCAATATCAAATCCACCCACAGTACATCCCCGAGGACTGTGGAAACAACCGATGCCGGATCTTGCGACACAAATTACAAATCGGCTGCCAAAAACAGTCCCGTCAATTCATTGCACAACAGTACTTGCGTCTGCGAGTGATTTAACAGCGAAGCTCTTGATCCAAAAACCGTGTCAAGCTCCATTGGCAACAAGGATCTCGAAACTTTGCCCCGGTGGTTTGAGACAAATGTCAACACGACAGCGTGGTGACATAAGCAAAACAAC